CCCTGAACCGTGAACCCCTAAACCCTAAATCTTCGAGCTCTGCCTGAGGCTAGGCCCAAGGATGGTGCTGAGGCGGCGCCGTTCCTGGTCGCGGGTCATCGAGGAGGAAACGTTTCGAAGGGCTTTAGGGTTTAGGGTTTAGGGTTTAGGGTGCTTTCGTGTATTGCTGTGCAGAGCTTGTATAAAGGGTATAAGGTGTTGAGGGCCTGGAGGCTCAGGTTTAGGGGGAATACGGTTGATGATATAAATCCTGCAATACCCATAATAAGGAATATACCACGATTCAGTTAGTTTAGGGTCCTTAGGGTAGTGCAGGATTTATATAATCAACCCTCAACCCTAATTCCCTAAACCTGAAACCCCAAAACCCCAAAACTCCTAAACACCTAAACTCCTAAACCTCTAAACCCTAAACTCCTAAACCTCTAAACCCCCAAACCCTAAACCCCTAAACTCCTAAACCCCTAAACCCCAAACCCCCCTAAACCCAAAACCCCTCCAAACCTGAAACCCCTTTAAATTTTTAAACTAGGGATAGGTTTGCAAGGCTTTTGGCCGCAGGCTTTAAGTCGACCCCAGGCCCAGTGAAGTCGGCTCTCCCCAAGGGGCCCAGCTTCGCGCGCAGTCGACGTCTGGCTTCGGTTTAAGCTTTATAGGGTTTATAGGGTTTATAGGGTTTAGGCTTTATAGGGTTTGGGGTTTAGGGTTAATAGGGTCATAATAGGGTTTGGGGTTTATAGGGTTTAGGGTAAATAGGGTTCATAGGGTTAATAGGGTGTATAGGGTTAATGGGGTTTATAGGGTCTAGGGTAAGGCCTTTAAGAGACGGTGTGTCGGGATGAGCACATAGCCTCGAGCCTCGAGTGCATTCTAGGCATAGGGATTCTTCAAATGTTCCATGGGTAGTTGTCAAAATTATGGTCCCTTTTGGGGTATCCTAAATAATAGGTGCCGTATTATAATAAGGACCCAAAAAGGGACCATCATTTTCACAACCACCCCCATGGATTCTGCAGGCTGCCTTGACGAAGTGGCACGACTGCCGGGTCCCCGGCTTCAGGCATCCAGCAGGGTAAGCATTCTGTAATTGTGTAGGCTTCTATATATGTCTGCTACCAATAATCAGAACAAAGCATGCCGCAACACACGCGAAGCGTGATCCGCACATCCTTGCAAGCTTCGAGACTCCACGGCCCAACTACGAAATCCTAAACCCGACACCCAAAAGCTTCAAAACCCTACAGCACATGTACACATGCGGCAATACAGGCCGCACTCGATAAACAAAAAGCCACCCAATACCAAAAGACTACAAGAAAAGATCCCCGTCCTGCTCAAGATGCTGCCCCGCTCCGGAGCGCTGACTACCTCGAGGGGCACATTCTGCGGACATGGATTGTGATCGTCTGGCGATGGCTAATCTCATATATCATGCTAACTGTCCGGGTTGTGAGTTTTACATCGGTTTGCTGTCTTACTGGGGGTGACATCTATCGTTCTTCGCCTAGGACGACGACTGCAACTGCAGACGCAGCCACAGCCGTGCTTACTGCTACTACTACTACTACTCCTTCTACTACGACTCCTACTGCCACTCCTGCTCCTACTCCCACTGCTACTCCTGCTGCTACTCCTCCTACATACTCCTCATACTCCTCCTACTCCTCCTACTCCTCCTACTACTCCTACTACTCCTACTACTCCTACTACTACTAATACTACTGCTACTGCTGCTCCTGCTGCTGCTGCTGCTACTACTACTCCTACTACTACTACTACTACTACTACTACTACTGCTACTACTACTAATGACACTAACGCCACAACAAGACGATCATCATTACCAGGACAACCACCACCGTCACCACTACGACGATGACCACGACCAGATGAGGAAGACGACGGCTACTGCCACCCACCACCACCACCGCCACGGCCTCTGCTACCTCCATGACTGACACTACCAACCCAACATCTCACAAATCTTCGCTGCATGATGCTGCATGTTCGACCCTGGCCCAACTGGCTCAAAATCGCTTCATCCGTGCCTCATTGCGGAGGTCGCGGCTACCACCCAAACTCCCCGCATCGGAGCTGCATGCTGAAGAGCCAAGTGGCCAAATTGTGCGCAGTCATTGTGTCACTTAGCGATGCACTCTCATGTTGCAGGTCGGCAGATGACTATGGCCGTCTCAAGCTTCAACGCTCCAAGTTCAGAACGGTAAAGCCGTCATCTGTCGGTGCGACACCTGTCTCCTGGTTGGTTGCACGGTTGCGTCATCACTTTTCAATCGAGGTCGTCCTGCACGCTCGTACCAAGGAGTCGGTTGATGAAGGTTGACCTGGAAACTGTGGACAGCAGCATAACCTTCCCCACAAAGTCTGCATGCTTCAACGATCCGCACAGGCACAGCTACTGGGCCCATCATTGCAACCTCGCCAACCCTCGCCACCTTGACCCAAATTCGCTGAAAGGGGCGAAGCGCTGTCTGAAAGAAGCGACCGTGACATCACAGCTCTGTTGTGTGAGAGCTCATCGAATCCGTGCTTTCGATATGCTCCCATGCCACTGGCCCGCAACCGCCGAACAAACAAACACCAGTTTTCGTTCTGTCGACTGCTGTGCCCTGGAACGGCTCGGGGAACAGATATACGAATAGACTAGAGACTGCCCGATAGATGCCCCCAAACTTCTACAGGTAGGACGGACGCCATTAGTAACCTCGGCGCCGGGAGCAATAATCAAATTATTGCTGCGTTCGCAGTGCTTTTTGTGAACGATGCTGCCGGATGCGGTGAGTTTGCCCTTAGGATTTACTGCCTCCTTGAGCACAGTCACATGAGCCCCCTTAACCTGTTGGTGCCGACTTCCTTTCTCGTCGTGCTTTCTTGTCTTTTGCTTGTCTCCTTTTTTTGTTTGGCAGGCGGGGTAGCCCCGAGCAAGTGCGACCATTTCGGATTATAGAAGGCAGGACTTCGGATCGAGTGGAGGGAAGTGGCATGGCATGGGGTGAAGCAGGTGAGGTGAGGTCAGGCCAGGGTCAGGCTGCGTTTGGTGTGGACAAGTCCAAGTCAGCTAGAAAAAGATCAGGCTTAGCTCCTTGGGAAGCAATCCGGTGAAGTCATGCCAGGAACCCACCCAAGGTTAGCTAAAGCTAAGTTGGGTCCCGGAGACTTAATGACAGCACATCTTCCGGCTGCAATCGCGGCAAACAGATGTGAGATGGAAAGCAAAGCTGTGGGGCGAGGTGATGTCGACAAGCCCTTCGGCTATCGCCGTATCCTCGACGAAGCCGGTTGCATAGAGGCTCTGAACCTTGGCTTCCCCGCTTGCCAGCCGAATGGTTCCCCACCTGACAGTCACAAATCTGTCGCAGTCGCCTTCGGGGGAGCTAGAATGTCCATCGGCTAGCTAGCATCATCTGGTTAAGAGCCACACCACCAGCACCATCGGTGTGAATGGGAATGCCAGCAGGTCATGCTCGAAGGGCTTGCCTGCGCACATGAGTCCGGCACATCGAAGGGCCGGGCTCCCTTCAGTGGCACGGTGATGCCCGGCCTGGTAGCCGAGCATCCAAGGGTCGAATGATGTCATCCTGACAGGCTGGCCCGACATATGGCGTCTGGCATGACACTTCCACCCTTCAGAACTCTGCAAAACAACAAAGTGGTGACAAAATCAAACTGCAACCACTGCGCGCCTGTAGCCAGGTGACCACTCGCGTGAGCTCGGCGAGGGGATCCTGGACAGTCTTAACAGCCGTCCTCAAACTAAGCCTGGGACCAGGCAGCCATACAGTGTCCTTTACACTATACATTTCTGCCCAGCAGACAGCAGACACGGCTAGAAGGACAGAAGCGCAACATGTAGCAATGTAGCGCCATGCTAGTCCCTGGCAGGGGCGAAACCCTCACTGGGGATCAAAGATCGGGAACGAGACCAGATCAAAGATCGGGAACGAGACCATATTGACATGTGTATGTAAAGTCGCGCGCTGCAGCTCAGCCTCCACCGTCTCACCACCTGCGAGGTCCTGAAGTCATGCTACGAGTACTGCGATGTACGGGACATGCACATCGACATGTCGGGACACGAAGCCCTCAAAGACGTTAAATGACGTTAACTAAACTGCTACTTCGTCTAAAATGGCTCTGCTCTGCAAATCTCTGCATATCCCGTCCTTCAGAACAAAGGGCCGGCTTAGTGTCCTCGCACGCTGGCTCCTCAACAAGCGAACAACAAGCACTCCTCCCCCGAAGCCTGACCTCTGCCTCGAGGAGTGGTGTTGCCAGGTGAGACGTCTCAGCTCTCCAAAATCAAAACCCCTCCGCATCGAGCCTCCATCGCCAGAGGAGGCCCCCGACACCTGCCAAGGTGGCGATGCCCAGGGCCTTGGGGACTTCGAGCGATCTTCGAGGAACTAGGAGAGAGGTTTTGGACCGGGTCTAACCAACAAACCAGTGCTGACCTAGCAAAAATCTAGGTCTGCTCTCAAGCGAGGCCAAGAACTCGCCCCCCAGCGTCGAGGTCCCCACCGCACCAGCAGCCTCTGTCTGAGAGTTGCGGCTCGAGGGGTGGACGTTATGGCATGGGAACCCTGCAGGTTCGCGGTCGAGGGGTGGTTCAGAATTCACTCATGGAGTTGCATAGATTAGGAGTCTGCGCCTGAATGCTAGCCGAAGCCTAGAATGCGAGCGCCAAGGAGCCATGCCGGAGACAATAAGCACGAAAGATGACATGCAAACATCAAGTTTCTAGAGGCTCCTAGAAACTGCAAGCCCGAGACAACAAGCGATGAAATCACGATCACTCAAGTCCCGCCAACCTCATGCCAGCATTGCAAAGCATCAGTTCCTTTCGGAATCCATGAACGCTTCGGCGCCCGCCTTGCGGTGGTCTTCCCTCAGCTCAGGTAAAAACCTCGGCGATTGAACGCTCCCTTGGCCTTCTCACCTGGGAACATATCGACAACTTCTGGCTTGAGCCGCCGACGACATGGCACAGCGAGATACGCACAAAAAGAACTGTAGACATAGGCTGTGTCTGCTGCTCTGCTCGAGTCTCGGCAGGTTGACATGACCTCCTTGCTTGGTGTCGAGGTAACGTGCTGCGAATGCCTGACATGCCATGATGTTACGAAGTCTGAGTACAACCTCGAGCGGGGAAGTCATGAACTTCTTGATGGAAGCTTTTGTAGAAGCTGTACCCGTGGCCAGCTTGCTGGTTTTCATCGAGCAAATGGCCTGAAGGCACGAGACCAGACAGCTGGTCTGAAACGGAACAGCTTGGACCTGAAAGCTTCTTCCTAGAGCTAGAGTTCGCAGGCTCTGCTCGCACGTCTCATCGGCTCTCGAAGACTCTGCAATCGACCAAGAGGCTTCTTGCCCCGAAGTGTCTGCTTAACAGACAGCCCACATAGAGAGCGGCGCGAAAAGCTTTGTCGCATGCTCCATCTACTCGCGTCCCCGAATGTTTTCAGAACGCGGCACTGGGTTATCTAGCTACGTCTCGCGGAAGCCAGCCACAGCAACGCATGTTATCGAGCTGGTCTTACCCGCCCGGAGTTGCCATCGGTCTGGATCCACAAACCACGACGGCGTTAATGGAGAGATTGTCCAGCTTGAAAAGCTTCCGGGTCATGCTGCCGCTTCGTCAGCACTGAAACAAATCATTTTGCGAGTGATTCTGGCATTTCCGGAACCGAACATCGGCGGAAGACAACTCTGCTTGGAAATTACAGCTTGCAAGACTTGGATATGAAATGTAACACTCAGAATGAGTGCAACATGCAGCCTTGTCTCATTAGACGCTGACCTCATCAGAACGTCCGTGGCCGGCTCGCCGGCGGCTTGTAAAGCCTTGGAAATGCCACGCATAACTGGACTTGCGACAGCAAGGCAAGCTACTTCGATTCAAGGCATGACAGATGCTCAGTCTGGTGACGCCAGACAAAACGGGCGTCTGGCGCATCGCAAGAACACCAAACTGAACAAGAACTTACTCCCTTCCTCAGTGCTGCTGTCGTCCGGGCCCGCACCGTGCAGAGACAGCACCATGGTTGGCAGACTCAGTATGATTGGTTGATGTGCATGATCCATCCAATCTACGCAACTCGTGGAAAGATTTTTCAGAGAAGCCTAGCCTTTGGTGGCGCCATGCGGGAAAGATCTAGGAAGTGCATCTCAGGCATCTCAGGCACTTCTCCTGAAGATCATAGTCCCTCCATGAGCCCGGCCATGGGCCGTCGAAGCCGCTCCTTGTCTTTGCCGCCCTGAGACCACAAGAACACAAAGTCAACCTAAGTCAACGTAGGTTCAGTTGGAGCCACAAGAAAAGGCCCCTGCGCGGCGGCGGTAGACGGTGTTCTGAAAGTGCTGCACGTCGGCCCGATACCTGGGATCGTACTCGTTGCCAGCTGCTCTTTTTTGCTCACAGCCTCTTGACGGGTTCGAAGGCCAACATTGGGTCCGCGCTCATCCCACGCAGATCGAGCGTGGTCTGCAAAGGCCCTGACAAGCACCCGAGTGTGGCATGTTGACTGCTGCTCCCAGTTCTCAGAGTGCTAGCGCCTGTCTGAACACGGCCCTGTGACTACCCAACTCCGAGCCAGCGGCCTGCAGCCACCTCCCAAGAGTGCTCCCGCCGGGCCCCTGGTTCAGAAAACCCTCTCGCTTCCAGCATGCAGCATGCGGCCAACGACGCTCGACCAGCGCTTAGAGAAGCGAAGCGGCTTCGCCTGGGTGGGGACAGTGCCTGGAAGAGTCCCACAGTCCTCTCTGCAAACAAGAGACGGTCCTGGCAATCGAGAACATAAACAACTTTGTCAATAGACATTCACAACCAGTACGGCAGGTCGACATGCGATTCACGCATCCCTGCTCCGGTCCTTGTCTGCTTCTTTGCTTTGCAACGCCTTGGATGCATTTATCTGGAGCTACCCAGTCTTCGCAGTTCACCATAGTCGCCATAGTCCAAGTTCTGCAGGCTTCACCACCCATGTCCCTTCAGAACGACACGTCATGACACATCTGCAAGTACCCCTCCAATTTCCGAGACACACAGTAAACTTCACCAACATACCTGTTGGCTTGTCGGTTCATCCTACTCTCCTTTGCAAAATTCTCCCAAAACAAAACATGTTCTGCGAGGCAAACAGACACGCGCCTCAGAAATGTGAGACGAAACACACATGGCAACAATCCGCAAATATGTCGTGGTGTGCCATGGTGTGCCTGCCAGCTGGACCGGACAACTTCGAACGTACGCGCGGGTGCACTCACACACACACACACACACACACACGCGCACACACACACACGCATGCAGTGGGTGGCACGGTTGTAGTCAAACGCTTCGCTGGACGGCTTCATGCGCATGCAAATGCATGCAAGCAGCAGGCCGAGTCGGCACGCATGCAAAAAGATGCAGCTGGGCCTGTCTACGCTAAGTAGCGCTGGGTATCCAAGACGTGCAGCATGCGCTCCTACCACGGAATATTGCGGCGGCATTGGCGAAACGAGTCGCATGGTGACATGCAGCTATCTTGTGAATCTTGTCCGCAGGAACGAAAACAGTGCTGCTAGCAATTGGAGATTCATGTAAACCGGCATGGCAACATGTTCCACTGTAGGATACGATGGCCAATCAGCAGGTTCAGGAATCACTGAACTGAACTGAACAACCGCAAGCAATGACACAAACTCTCTGCGATAGCACGTGTTGTCTCAATGAATCTGTCCGTTCATCGGACCAGACAGCGGCAATGCGACAAGGCTCGATGATGCTCATGATGCTAAAGAACTGGCGGGGGGTGCGCCTGATGCTCATGATGCTCGCCAACACTCGCGAGCAGTGGATTCGTTCCACTCCAGATAGGGAGACCCGACACTAAAAGGATGATGACTCTGCCTAGTGTCAGCAGGCCGGCAGGCCGGACAAGCTCACACTGCTGGGAATTATGTATTCATTGCTGCTTAGATGCTGGCATGAAGAACATCAGTCTGTGCGGGCACCTAGAGCACAAGACCCCGGTTACCGTCACCTACACCTGCCGAGCTTAGCACCTCTGAAGGCAGCTGGGTAAGCCCTAGATCCTAGAAACTCTTGAGCGAATCCGAAGCCCCGTCAGTCATCGGAATCAGAAAGTCAAGGCGCACGGTGCAGCTCATGATGCTAGTCTCGAGTCGCATCCTGTTACCTGACTGTGTACCTCCAAACCTGTAACATTGCTGCGTGCACTCGGACTACTGCACCGAAGCTACCCCGACGGCCATCGCCATGAGGCTGGAGTCGTAGGTGGGGCTGGACCTAAACTCACAAGCGACTGTTGCAATTTGCTGGACTTGTGCACATCAGATCATGGGCTGAACGCGGGAAGCCCAATGGCATTCCTCTAGGTGCTTCTTGCGATCATCTCCTCACTCTCTCAAGAAGTCATGCAGTCTACCTCGGAAACACGTGTTGGGTGCTCGCTAATCCGAGGCTGCGTTCCGGACGAGGCTGCAAATGGAACCCCGCCAGCCTCTTGGCTAACCCACCGGTCTGGGCCTCGCTGTGAAGCAAAGTGTAACAAAGCCTTCGGAACTGTACCGTAGTACTGCAGTCTCGACTCCTCCGAGTGCAGAGCAGATCCGTTGGACGTCGGAGCATTTGCACCGTGACCCCAATCCAGACTTCCTGACCCGTGCCATCCGTGGGCCCCCGGCCATCTTCTTGCACACTGTGTCGTCGCTCAAAGCCTCGGCAGCAGCCGGCGCTGGATGTTGTCTGCCAGCTGTGCTACAGCATGATCACGACATCACAGCATATCACAGCCAAGGTCTCCTCCGCCACCCGTTCAGTTGGAGTCGGCGTTGGATATTGGAAAGGAGGTTTGGACGGTCTGGAGCTGTGTCTAGCCATCACATTGTCTCGTGCTCCTGCTTTGCAAATACAAATACCTGGAAACAGAGTGTGTGTGGGTGTGATGGCACTGTGGATACTGCACAAGCAGCAAGTTTTTTGCTGCGACCGAGTCGTCGAGACGGCTCTGGCAGCTCTCTGGTCTGCCAGGCAAAAGCTGGACAAGGTGTTACGACTGCTACGAGAGCTAGAGGGAACCTCGCAGCTCGCCTAATTTCGCCCACTGGCCGTAACTGAGCCAAATACCAGAAAATACTCACTAAATTCTGGCCTGGAGGTCCAGATGAGCAGGTATTGGGCACAGCCTCTCTGTCACAGTTGCGCTTTTGGCTGCAACTATGTTCGCTCAGACTGCTTCCTTCTGGAAGATGCAGGACGACTGAGAAGAGTTGCGGAAAGTGCCTTATCGCTCGGGCAGGTGATCACAAGGACACAGCCGTGCAAGGCAGCTACAGAGCCAGTGCCACATTGCAGACAATCCCCACAGCCTTCAGGTCTTGTGCTGTGCATAGAACCATTGGGTTTAGGGCCCCGAAGCTCGGGGAGTCCGTGTTCGAGGCTACATTTCGGCATATCCTTGCCTCGAACCATGAAACCTGCATCCCCGAAACACCCTGAAATAGACTCTTCCCTTGGTATCGCCCACTGAACACTTGACACCACGGGGCCCGCCGTGACTCCGATGTAACCATCCACCAGCATCACATTGACGGTGTCGCACTTGTCATCGAAGATGCCCCAGCACTTGTGGCCCATGCGAAGGCAAGCTTCCTGAATGTTACTGAATGTTTGTGCAGCAGGCAGACCACCCTTCGGTTGCGAATTCGCTTCGCACTTCTGCAGGTAAGGATCCCTGGCGGAGGCCATGTTGCTGTAAGTCGTTCCACGGATCAGCTTCGTTGCCTGAGCTGCTTTAGGGCTTCTGCGCTAAGCTCCCGGATTCTTGCTGCCGAGAGGCCGGGAGATACACCTTCTCAAACTTCGTGTAGTTGTCCGCAAATCCTCTTCCAAGCACGGGAAAATTGAAACTGCCACATGGTGAGCCCAGGGGTTCCACACCCGTAGTGGAGTTCCGTGCAGCTTAGAGTCCGTCGCACTGGATAGGCGTGGTGGTCAACACCTGGAAAGGCTTCCAACACTCTCTATGCACTCTCGGCTGGAATCAACAGATAATAGCACAGCGATTCAATGCGATTGCCCAACACAGCAGTTGCAACAGCAGTTGAGGTTCAAGAACCCGAAGTCCCCTCCCGGGCTGGCCGTGTTGGTGGCAGATGCGCAGCAAACACCAGTTCCCACAGCCTGGCCGTGCCTTGCGGGGATGAGTTCAGAGTTACTGGCTGCTTCTGCAATGCTGTGCATCACACAGCAGAGAACTGCAGAGTTTCTGTGGAACATTGCCACTACCCCTACGACCCATCCACAGTCAGGCGCTGGGCAAGACTTGTACGGTTCGTGCGGCCTCAACACTCCCGTCGCTAGATCCCTCCCACACCTTGCCACAAGAGTGAAAGGCTGTACGGTTGTTGCGGGAATACCTGCGAAATTATCCGGACCCTTCCCGTGACTCCCTGCTGACCTGTTCTTCAGCACACGCACACCGTTGGAGACGCCGGAGGCGACGCACTCAGCTGCCTCGTCCAGTTCAGCGTTGGCCTTGCTTGGGGCTGGGGCACAGCCACCGACTGCACAGGTTCAGAATGGTCGTGCTAACATCTTCACTGCATGCACAATCCGAGCACGCCATACATGCCGGTGTCAACCCGCTGCGTGTTGATGTGGAAGAGCTTCTGAGCATGATTGCGGCAAGGGCGCGCAGCCGCTGAATCTGAACACCTGGGATGGTAGCTGCGAATGGCAATGCTTGCATTCAGCCTGTTGCGGGCTAGAGGACAGGGAAAAGCTTGGGTCGGGCCTCACCGTACTCCTGCTTCTCCACGTGGTAGGTCTTCCAGACAGCGGAAGGGTCCTCCAAAAAACCAAAGAAATGCGCTTTGGCGGCCGTGGGCGGGTCTCTGGACTGGGCTCTGGGGTCCACGTCGGTGCGGGAGACGTTCACCTCGTAGCTGCAGAACTGGGCGATGGTGGTCGTCACGGTCGTCTCGGAGCCTGAGCTAAGTCCTAGCATCTTAGAAGTCGCGCTGATGGACCTGCCGCATGATGCTGGCACATGGACAAGCCAGAAGCACAAGGTGCACTGCACTAGCTGTGGTGGAACAAACTCTTCCGTCTTCGGTATCCCTTCAGCCCTACATTAAACCTATCTCCGGACGGAGAGCACCTGCCAGCATTTGATGCCAACGAGTCAAGTCCGAGCAGCCTAGCTTCATGCGAAGGACGCAGCTGCCGATGCTCGACTCCTTGCCACAGGCACTCGGAGCTGGGATCATGTGCTCCCACCGTGCCGGCCTTGACGGATTCCAGATCCAAGCCAGGGGCCTCCGAGAGCACAGCGAGCAGGGCCATCGTACGCGGATGCGACGATGGATTTGATACTCAGCGGGACGAAATAGAAAGACAAAGACACTTCGATAACTAAGGGGAGGCAAGGACGGAGATTGGTTGCTTCATGTTGATTCATTCATTTCGCGAGCGAGCGGTTCAGGCAGCGAGAGTCCGTGTGTGAGAGAGACAGATTGGGAGAGGCGATCGAGAACGAGCACTACCCCCAACGTGGTGTGCATCGAAGCCCCGTTGCCCCGAAACGGATTCCCCCGAAAGGAAGCTTCGAAACCCGCCTTGATCAGCTTAACCGGAGACTCCTCAGAGGCGCCGTCACACTTGGTGTCGTAGATGCCAAAGCAAAGCCTCAGGGAGCTGGGCCCAGTTGGGCCGAAGGGCACAGTTCGGCCGCTGAGCGGCGTGATGCTGCGCAAGGGTGGGCGGGGTGGCTAGCGAGTGGCAAGGGGTCCGATTCATGCCTTAAAGCATCAACCGCTGGGATGTGAGAATCCGGCCCTCGCTCGGATGTACACAGTGTCGCGTGAGAAACATCCATCTGGGGCTGCCAAGCCACACTGAGCCCATCATCTCGCAAGCGGATTTGGCCTGAGGTGATTGGGCCCGGGTATTCCGCACTCAAGTCTCTCATTGCAGAACTCAGACAGATCCAACTTGCCTCTTCCATAGTTCCGAACGCTGCCACACGACCTGCAGCATTCAAGTCCCCAGCAGCTGAACATCTTCTGTTTCACTCTCCATTTCGAGCCCACGCACATTCCTTCTCGCTTGATGTTTCTGGAAGGCGTTAAATTCTGGGGGGCTTCCGGCCCCGTTTTCTTATCTACTTCTCCCAGAGTGTCTCCGGCTTTGGTTCTCCTGTTGGCGGAGATTTCTCGGCTCAGCAGCCAGGTCTCATCTTGTCTAAATGGTGCTGGAACGAGCGAAGGCAGAGGATGTACTATTAAGATGCAATTCTGGGCCGGGAGAGGTTGGCCAAACATGCGGAGAAGTATCGATGCCAGCGTGCCATTGCTCGGCAACAGTTGCACACCACATCGCATCTCGACTAGCAGCCACAGCTTGCAAGCACTTCGTGAGCATCACATCACCTCTAATCAGTCTCAGTATGTCTCAGTGCTCTCAAGTGCTTCAGCAAAACTTCTAGCGTGTGCCTGTGTCAGCGTCGACCATGTAGTGGTCCTGTGTCCTGAACGGAGTTCCATGTCAGCTACACCGACCCGGGATTGGACATCTCCGACAAGCATTCGCTCGTGGGCGAAATCAGGAACACGCAATACCCAGCTAGGTATGCGTCCACTCTGGGGTTTCAACGGATGGGCGCAGGGCTCAACAACAGCCGCTGGTAGAAGCCAAGTTTCACGAAGGCATTGTTGAAGGTGCTCCAGCTGTACCAGTCAATGGTACAGCACGAGGCCAGGCACTTGTTCGCCTCTCTTTGCAGGACCCGCGGCAGGCAATGCCAGCACACTACGACATCTGCTGCTGGAGTATACCCACCCCCTCCTCGATTCCATAGGCAGCATACTCAGTCTCGTTGAAGTTGGGGTCGGAAGGATGCAGGATGGATTGAAGACCTGGCAACAGGCAGTAGAGTGCTTTTGGTGCAGGCAGGTGTGACGGCTGGCTGTAGGACTGTAGGACCGCAGGAGCTACCAGCCCAGACCTCCTGCGCAGACCTCTGGCGTCACGAAACCTTAGCTTGCCGCCATTGAACAAAGCATGTGAAACGAGTCATCCTGTGTTTGCGAACGCCTGTCGGCACGGATAAGTGGAGAATGCCAAACGGCACGCGAGAAGTCGAAATTCGAAGTGGCGTTGGACACAGATTTTGCGCGAAAAACAAGAAAACACAAAAAGTCAAAAAGTCAAAAGGCCGAGAAAAGAACAGCAAAACGCGAAAAGTCGAAAAGAACAACAAAACGTGAAAAGTCAAAAAGTCGAAAAGTCGAAGACGCAAACACTGCAGAATACGAAACCCCAGCAAGTTGTGAAGATCTGAAAGCAACTTGGCATAACTGTCGCCTGGAGCGAGGTGTTTCTCCATGTTAGGGCAGGTTCAGGCCACTCGACATGCATATTGTAGCACTTGCGGCTGAAACGAAGCCCTGTTAGGCCATGTTCAGGGCACCCTACCTGAATGTAATTTGCGTCCGCTGTGGCTGTTTTGCTTAGTGGTGCGCCGGGCTTAGCGACTTCGTAGATGGCCTTTCAGCCACAACAACAGCCGGGTTCAGAGGGTCACTGCGGAACTCTTGTTTGTCCTGCCTTAACTAGGTCAGAACTGAAGGTCATGATGGTCTGATGAGTAAGCTTACAAAGTACAGCAATAACGCGAAAAGTCGAAAAGCCGGACAGCCCGAAAAGTATCGAAAAAGAACAGGAAAGCCCGGAAACCCCGCAAAGTCGAAAAGCCCGAAAAGTATCGAAAAAGAACAAGAAAGCCCGGAAACCCCGAAAAGTCGAAAGGTATCGAAAAAGAACAGGAAAGCCCGAAAAGTATCGAACAGGACAGGAAAAACCGAAAAGCCCAAAAGCCGACAAGCCCGAAAAGTGTGGAAAAGCAGACAAACACGCGAAAACTCGAAAAGGCGAAAAGTTTTCGACGGTTCGAATATGTTTTTTCGGATCTCCGCCTATGGAAACCAACGCCCGGCTTGCGTACTTAGCGAGTCCGGCCGCTTCACGCAGCCAACACTCTGCACCCGAAGAGCTTGGCTTCTCGATGCCTGCGTGGCTGTCCACGCATTGGCTCCTAGCAGGCAACAAGAGGCCCTATCACTCCGGGGCTACACTGTTTTCGTTTGTCTGCATAGCCGTTCGCAAACGCGCAAGGCTGTGCTCAATGTGAAAATCCTGACTCTAGCCAGGCCTGACTGCGGCAGCGGAATGCCTGGCTAAAGAGAAGACAAATCATTGGATGTCGCTGGGCGACGATGTCTCTAGGCATCCACTAGATTACTCAGCATGGCAGACTGGCATGTGCTCTCCTCAATTGCTGACCAACCTCCAACACATCCTGCTCATCCTCCTCAATTCAGCCCTCTTCACAACTCTCGGCATTCCGGACAGACCTCTCTGCGATGCACGCATCGATGGCTGCATCCATATCGGCGGCTGAGAAGGCTTCCTCGGAACAAGCCGTGGTTCAGCCCCGAAGACAGCTTCAGGGGCTAAGTCCCTGCGGCACTATGGCTGATTTTCAGCAGTGCACAGAACTTTGACCGTCAAAGACACCTCTGATGCCCGCAATAACTTTCGAGCTCTACAAAACCCTACCCCGTTCCGTGAGCCACCAACAGCCCGGTGTCCAGCAGGCACCCGATTCGCTTGATGGCACGGTACTCGTACTTGAGGTCCTGGCTTCAGATTCGTCTCGTCACGCTCACAGCTTTCCAACACACGAATCTGCTGGCGAGTTATCAATGGCACGTCCAAACATCAGGAATATAGAAGCCCGATAAGTCATGTGAAGTTGAGCTACCCACAAAAGCCAAATGAGTTTCCATGGCAAAAGAATTTCAGAGTGTTGTCACAGAGACCTGTCAGTCAGCACGAAGCCGACCCGGCGAGATCCTGGATGGTCTTGTTGGAGGCCGTCACTTCGATCAACTGGGCAGAGACAGCTGTTCGCACGGGATCTTCATCAACATTCGTATACCGGACGTCATCCTCACCCTCAACGCCTAGCCCGCCAGAGCGGATTCATCCTCTACAATTAAATGGAGTTTGCCGGAGGCCAAGCAACGTAGTTGGACCACTTCGCTTCATAGCAAGCGGGGAGAGACGCACAGGACTCGTTGGTCCTGAGCGGTGAGCTCGAAAGCTTGTTGGGGATGCTCGGCCGAACGATGAGTCGGTGCAGGACAATGTAACGCATAGGAGACTTACCGAGTTGTGCAGGCCGCACCCCTCTTCTGACACTTCCAAACACAGCCGAGCCGAAAGTCTCCAAGCCTAACGAAGACAGAACGGAAGAGGTCCTCTCATGCACCTGGCAGGCGGTCTCCTCAAGCTCCAGCTGCGCAGCCTGGCCTTGAAATCGGATACCCTCTCGCCTCTCGCCATACACCTGTAGAAGATTAGCACAAATCTAGCCGCAGCTGCTTGCTCTGCTTGATAGAGTTTTTGAGTCTGAGGCTGTGATGCGAGAATCTGAGATGGTGCGAGCTTGTCTCTTTGGGCGGATGTGTTGAAGAAGCCTTCACCTGGCTGAATGGTCATATTGAGTTGCTCGAGTCGCGTCGGCAAAGAACGTCAAGAGATCAGAGGAGATACATAGGAAACATTGCATGCTAGCTGCTAGCATCAGGCTTTATCACGACACACGGTTTCAGTTCCACAATGCATACCAAGTTGCAAGCCGAAATTTTCTCGAAATACTCGATTTCCTGCGGCGGAGCTCAGGACCCAGCAAGCAAAACTAGCAAGCTGCCGCTAGGTCTACTTAGCTGTCCCAGCCTTGTCTGTGCAGTTCCACTGGGTGATGTTCTGCGTCACGTTCTCCAGCCGGTAATAGGTTTTCCACCATGCCAACTCGCGAGGTTCGGGGCTTCAGGATGAAGCGACCATTGGAGCTAGCTAGAGTCTTAGAGTATTCCGCACAGGAGTCCACAACTGGAACTGTCTCTAGAAGGATGGCCAAGGTGAATGGCCTGCTTGTTCTTGAAGTGGTCACGCCTCGGTCAGGCGAGAGCTGCTAGGCTGCTAGGCAGCGTTGGGCTCGTTAAGCATAGCCAGCCCTCTCAAAATTTACATTGAACTGGAAGTCTCTGCTCACTGCCAGGGTGCATGGAGCCCAGGTACAGCAGCACGTCGTCTCCCTTGACTGCGCACTCCTTCATACCAGAAAGCACAAAGCGCACGGTCACGGAACATCACGGAACCTTGAACAGTCGCATCTACGATGGCGGTCCTCTGGGCTCTCAAAGATGTTAATGCCTGTCAAGGGCGGCAACCGGCTTACCAGACTCCTCCGTCACTCCCCAATCTCCCGGTCATCCCTTGACAAATCTGCCTGAGAACTCAGTCGTCAGCGTCTGTTCCAGAGAGATGAGGCTCTCGCGACTTGACTTGCAGGCATCCAGCTCCTTGCAGAGTGAAACTCCGGCCCAACCGGTTTAAGGCAGAGCCTGCGTGGATTGCAAAAGCGACAGTGCATCATTCCATGACATTCCATGGCTCGGAGTCGTTTGCAACTGTCCGTCATGCATGGAGCACACAGCTCTGCAGGCCAATGACGAGTGCTGGCGTCCCCCTTCTTGCCTGCTTCTTGCCAACGATCTCCGTGCGGCAAGCAGTGTGTGCCGAGCGGAGCGGGCTAAAGTCGCCAGTGAAGCCTTGGATATTGCAATGGTCCGAAGTGCTCGATTCTTGGTCAAATAGCGTCACCAGATAAAACGTAAAATTTCCCGAAAAACGATCTCAGGCGTGGCACCTTCTGGAAGGAAGGTAGTGTTGCCAGAGTACAGCGGGCAACCCACGGAGAGGTTTGCAAAGGACTGGCCGGCGTGAGGACAACATGCTCTGAGAAGCTTTCTTGAGCATGTGCACTGCTATGATACGGAGTCTACTACGCATCAAGAAGGTTGAACCCTGGGGCGCGATCGTGTGTCTTGACTCTGTCTTTCCCTGAACCGCCTTTTCTTGATCCCGTCCAAATCCATGAAATTCAAGAGAACTGTGCGAGGGTCCTCTTGGCAGGCACCATCGGCCACGCCCGCAGCCTTGAGAACCTCCTCCTCCATCTTCTTCAGCTCCTGCGCAAGTGTTTATGCTCCGAGGCGGACTTCCACGGCGGAAGTTCCTCTTCAACTCCTTGGCAGTACACAACATCAACTAAGATAACTAAGTAGCCCCTGAGCTTTCAGAGCCAGAGCCCGCAGCCCATTCCCAACACGGCCGACTTAAGCTTCCAATTGAGAAAACCTATGCCAGTCACCTGAACCCTCCACCAAGCCCTCATCAAGGACCGCGAACAGCCATATCGCATGCCCCTGCAAGCCGAGTATGACCTCCCTCAAGACACCAACATTGGAGCCCCTCTGCATGTTCTGTCCGCTTTGATCTGCGTGACCAACTCCGTCACGTTGCCGTCAGCGCCCTGGCGCAAATCATCACATTTCCCCTAACGGCGGCCTCGTAAGTACGAGTAGCTTCTATAGGCTTGCCTCAGCTGCTCAATATCATGCAATGCCAACGCACTCAAGCCCAGGACCACAGATAAGAAGGGGACACGACAAACTATGCAAAGCCTTGTTTTGGCTTCTCACAGGCTCACAGGAAGGAAAGCCACAATCACCATACAGTCTCCAGCGCTGGTAAAACGAAGGCGAACAACCTCTGGCCGCTGGCCTGGGACTGCTTTCGGGCAAGCTTTGCCTGCTGTGCGAGCAGCATGACCTCGGAGACTTGCATTCAAGCCATTCACAATCTGCGGCATGGCTTCGTAAAGTTGTTGTTGTTGTTGTTGTTGTTGTTGTTGCTGCTGCTGCTGCTGCTGTTGTTGCTGTTGTTGTGGTTGTTGTTGTTGTTGCCTGAGAAGCAGCTAGCCGCTAGCCGTGTAGCGCATGCATGGATAGGCTCCCGGCCGCAGCGATCCGACACGTTAGTTTCTCTTCTTTGCTTGGGACATCGGGTCTTCGTCAATCCTTCCGTTAAACAGAGACCTTCTCCTGTGAGCAGAACATCCAGAACCAGGGCCCATACATGAAGCCGCTTGCAACCTACGTGAGAGCCTGAGGATATCAATTCCTCCACTTACACTTCTAAGACACCACAGGTCACCACGTGATGAAGCGAGCAAGCGGAAGAGAAAGAGGAACAATAAGAGCCTATCGAGCGGCCATCGTCTCCATCTCGGTAGCCTTGGCCTGTCGCGTGACTTGGGGGGTGCCGGAAGCTTCGGGCTCCTCTTCGCCTGAACAGTGGAGACCTTTAAATTAGAGTGAGCCAGCAAGAATCCGGAGCATCACGGAACCCCACGCCTTGGACTCGCTAGGCTTCGGCACGTTGGCAAGCAGATTCACGATGCTGTCCTGCGATCAGCGACTCGCAGGCACGAATCGATGCGCAGTCCTCCAGAGCTTCTGGCTCCCTCCTCCTTTCTTAGCACAGCCCCAAAAGTCCAAGTTGTTCCACTCCTGTTGGTTCGGAATGGGAACCATCTTTGCCGCTTCTGAGGTGGCGAATGCCACAAACCTGAGCTTTCGATGGGCAAAGGCCAGCAGCCAGTCTCGGGCACCCAAAGCACTGACGAGCTGAAGTCGAAGGAGCAGGCCCAAGAGCTGGAAGGACATGGTCTGCAAAGGAAGAGATGCCTGGGATCAGACAGGTCTTCCTGACAGACTTGGGCTAAGCCTAAGCCTAAGCCTAAACGACATGCATTGCTAGCCACTTATAGAGCTGCTCAGTCGTCCGACGGGGTTTAGCCGCGGCTTCCGTAGCCTTGCTACTGGTACTAGCTGAGGTTATGATTTGCTGCGCCCGAGTTTTCATGAGCCAAACATGCCGCCGGGCTGCACAGACAGAAGTCCTGCGCACAGGCTTGTCACGACAATTCAATTTCAAAGGGTCTCAAAGGCAGCATCCATTAGAGACTCGGATTCAAACGTCCGTACGTCGCGTCCTGTCTCGAAACCTCACAGCTCTGAATCAAGATCGCAAAGCCGGACGGGTGCAGTCCTTGCTACGTTAACGAGTCCCTGGACCCGTGGTTCTCTCGAGCCGAAGGTGGCTGAGGCTTGGCCAAAGCAGAAACTGGATTTGGGTAACGAAATGCCGGGTCCAACCACGTAGGATCCTGGTGCCCACAAGGACTGCAACCTGGAGGCTCTGGGTCTCCGGACCCCACTGTGACGCCGGCCTTCGCCGGGCTGGCCCTGGAAACGGCCCGTGCCCGCGCTCGAAGCCTTGCTGCGCCACGGGGCCGCGGCCGGACTCTCGGACTGCGGTGTCCACAGCCACGCCCAAGGGCCCGACCCCACTCCTGGCGAGTATCCTTCTCACCAAAGTCCTCAACACGGTACAGATGCATGGCGCAGCACGGCAGACACACAGGAGCTCGAGCACAAAGCCAAGCTGCTGCTCACAGTGCCCCCCCCCCCCCCCCCCCCNNCCCCCCCCCCCCCCCTCGCGCGCCTCGGCCTCGGAAGCGGCGTCCGCCTGGTGCCAGTCCGGCCGCGGCCGAGGCGACGGGCTCGGCCTGGGCGTTCTCGGCTTCTCAGCTTCGGCTTAAGATAGGAGAACTCCGTCGTCCTCGCTAGTAACCGTTAGTTCACACAGCGCTGTGAGAATTCACGGATAGGGCTGTCTATAGCTGTTGTCGAAGGTCACGACATAGGACAGGTTTGCACATGTTTGCGCAAGCCATCCCGATGGTCTACCCATGAAATGGGGATGATCATCATGAATTCTTGCCTATGCTGCTGCACAGTCTGCAGCAATCGCATCTTAACGGTAGCGGGAACAGGCACATGCTGCATGCTGCATCGTGCTGCCATGGGCCTGACAGGAGTCATTCAGCGCCTTCTGAGCACCCGGCGCAGAGCTCGGGGGGCGTGTGCTCGCACGGGAGCCGAGGCCCACGCGTGAGGCCGGGCGGCAGCTTGGCCTTGGCGAGCAGAAGGGCTCGGAAGGGCGCTGAATGACATCTTTGACTTCGTGCAGGCACGGGGCGTCGAAGCGGGTGCCTCCGAAAGCTCTGAATCTGGTTGGAGTCCTTGGCGCTGCAGACTCTCTTGACTCTTGAAAATGGAAACCGCTTGCGCTACCACTGTTGCAGTCCACTGCACCTGACTTGGGCAACTCCAGCCCGAAGTCGACGCAACGCCTGCAGAAAGCGGTATCTTGAATCGCTGGAACGCTTGAGGGTGTCGGCCTCAGTGCTGGCACCAGCTGTGGCCGATAGAGGAGGAAACGGATGTCGATCTGGGGACCGAAATGGCCGACCTAGCTGTGACTGACTCCGACTCCAGCAGAAGCCAGACATGGAACGAGGCCCAAACGAGCCACTCCATGTCTGCGGGAGGAATCCGAATTTCCTGATGTCAACGCATGTGGGGGCCGAGCTGACAGAACCGAGTCCGAGCGGATCCGGGCCTCCGAGGACTGGAGGGTGCCCTCGGCCTCCAACCTAAGACTTTAAGACAGTCTCGAAGGTCCAACGCTACCGCCAGAAACAGTCGCCGGCTCGCCATCTCAGAGGCCCCTGCTCGGCGTAGAGCGCTTCGCCGATCTCGGTAGGAAGGCCGAGGCCCGCCACCTTGGGCTGAGAGCTCCGCATGGCTCCGCTCAGCTCGGCTCTCTACACAAATACCTCGCCTCTCTCTGCCTTTTTTTTGTTTTGGTGCTCTTCTCTCTTCTTCTTGAAGCCAAGGCCGGCGCGAAACCTTGGCAGTCTTCCAAGCACACCGAAGCATCGAACTGTGCAGGGAGACGTTCCAGGCATAGGCATCAGTTTGGGATGGAAGCTTGGGTTTCTGCAGGCCTCTGCGTAAAGTCTTCACTTTCACATGCTACTGGTCGGCAGGACACTAAGTCCCCTCTCTCTGAGGAAGCATACCCCTTTTTGTTGCCAGGAACGCCAAGCTGTTGAGCAGTGACGCTATGCAAGCCATGCCGGCCTTTCAAACCCGTTGGATCCTTGCGGCTGTGAGGTGGGCGCGAAATCGAGACTAGTTCTGGGTGCCACAGGGGTGCTCCAAAGGGGCTCTGCTCCAACGACCTCTGCAGGACTGTTAATCGCTCGCCGTTGCTATTCTGGCAACCAGGGGTTGCCCACTACCATGACTTCCAGGCTCGACAAAACAGCGTAAGTCTGCCGAAGGATGCTTCGGGAAGGCCGGTCTTTGAGGATCCTTCTCTGGCAAAAGGGGCTTTGGCGGAAAAGTCGCCCCTTGCCGGATGCGGCTAAGCCGCCGCGGAGAGCGGGAGACCGCAGAATTAAATCGATGACTGGAGCTTGAAGCTCGACTGATGTGCACCTAGCAGCCTAGCAGCATGGCACGCACGCGCAGACACACACACACACACAGAGACAGAGACAGAGAGACAGACAGACACAGACAGACACCAACTTGCTTCATCGCCGGCTCTGCACGAATTTCTTCAGCCCAGAGCCTCCTTGCATTCTCCGACGCACTACTTGTGCACTGCGCCTTTGCGCTGCATAGAGACGGTGACAGCAGTCCCCGGAAAAGCGAGGTGCATGATCAAACGCTTGTTGCGAACGAAGATCACTTGCCTTGACCTCGGCATTCGTCCGAGGTGAGCTCCGGCCTAACGAAGCAGCCCGGATGCTTAACGAATAGTACCAGATACAAGGCCCGCACATCCACGGCGACACAACGGAACAAAACAAGCAGCATCAGCCGAATGCGAACAACGACACCTAAATGCCACCATATTGGCCACAGACGACTTCGAGTTGTTGCGCAACGGTGCGACACTGCTACCACGCGAAACAGTGACAGCGAGCAGTGGGGCCACCAAACTTGCCACAGTGGTGAGAAAGCCGGGCCGCAAACTGCAAGCGTCGCCACAAGAAGAATGTCTCGCAAACCGTGGGGGTACTGCGGCTGTGAGGAAGGACCGCTCACTAAGTTGACCGCAAACCATGGGAATATCACCGCTTGGATCAAGTGCCGCCATTATGCGAGTGGCAACACGTCAAGCAACTTGTCCCGATGTCGTTGCCCAAAGACCCAGGAAGTTCTTGCCTGCAATTTCTTGTAGCCTCCCATCTTTTACCCGGCAGCCGAGGCTCTGATCCAGACACGGTAGTCCTCAGAGGAGCACACGCAGCCGTTCAACTTTTCACAGGTGGGGTGCCCAGTGCCACAGGATGCTCTCGGCGTGTTTCTCCGAGCGTCTGCGCCCTCGGTGCCCGGAGACCAGGAGCCGTCGACGCCGGAGTGCTTCGGGCCCAGAGCAACACGCAGCGCAGGGGGAGAGCCGATCCTCGGAAACAGAATAGCTCAGGGCCTGTCGCACTGGCCCACATAATCAAGACGCCTTTAGAAAGACTCAGCCTGGCCACTCTGCAATGTACAGGTCGTGATCTGCACACAAGATCTGAACTTTGTCGTCCACCTGCCACGGATTTGACAGATGAAGGTGGTCTCGCCCTCAACTAGACGGCCTTGATCCCAGCCCTCCGGCGCAGCTGCAGCAGCGCCTTGATGCGATTTCGCATGTCCTGGAGCAGGTCCCGAAGACCCCCGGAACGCCCCCCCGAATCGACGAGCCGGAGTCGGCACGAAGAGAGGAGTCGAAGGCCTCGCCTCGCCCCAGTCGCAGACGTGGTCCCAAAAGATGCAAGGGATACCTGGACTCACAGGGGGGGCTCTTGGTTTCGTCAAATTAGTGCACACTTAAAACTGGATGTCCCCGCCCGAGGCTTTGCCTGGGTGGGTGAGGATGTAGGCGTAGCCCACCAGCACCTTGTCGTTCGGAAAAGGCCTGGGCTTCTTGCAGCTGCCGCATGCTGCCGCTGCTTGGAGAAACTCTTTGAGCAGAGTGCACTCGTCAACTCCGAGGCTGCTGCCAGTGACCCTGGGTACTCCCGGTGTCGTGGTTGTCGAGGAAGGTCACGGCGTGTGTCGGCATCCAGCCCAAGAGGCCTGCCATTACGCTTCCAGCTGCAAGGATCTGCCTGGCTTGCCTTCGGAGCATGTGCGCATGCAAGTGAGCTCATGCATTGAAGTCTTGTTAAACCGGTCGGCGGACGCGTAGCACCGTTCTTTTTTGCATGGAGGTTGCTGCCGGCAAACATGCTGTATTGTGGCTCGCAGATCAGACTCTCTCCGCCTGCCTGGAGGCTTGCCGTTGGAGTCCTTGAGCCGCCAGTACTGCGTGTTGCGAACCGCTTCCTGCCCCATTCACAGCCGCTACAGCCACGTACCTCCGATCTCCATCCACCCTGGGCATCCCTGGGCCTGGAGGATACCTTTGGTGGTGAAATCGAAGGCGGTGCTCCTCAGGAGCAGTACTTGGCAAGCAGCAAAGCCAACAATGAGCTTCGCCAAGCTGCTCTTTGTCCGTGCCATTGATCCAGTTCACAGTATCCTGCCTCACGAAATCCGAGGCTGCACGCTGCAGTCAAGAGCCCTGCTTTTTGGCATCTGCCATCATCTGCCTGTGCTTATCCTGGTTGTACTTCAAGCCGTCGTGATCGTACCTGAAATGGCAAGGCTCGGGCTGACAAAAAAGATACCACGACAGGCTTCCATTTTTCCAAGCGACTCCATGTCCAACCACAGCTCTCCGACAGCCCAGGACGGCTCACTCTTCTTGCCTCGCAGCCACGCCCAGGCAACTCTGCGATTGTCGATCCCGTGTGGCACTGATTCGCAGCGGGTCAACAAGTCATCTGCAGCTTTGCGGCAGTAGTGGCCGACATACTCGGCACCATAGCCTGATCGTTCCACATACAGTGCCACGACCGCTGCTTGCAAGTGGTGCAGAGAGCTTCTGCGGTGCGACTAAGTAGCCCTTGACAAAGTCGAAGCGCCAGGCATCGAAGCCGATGTCCAGACGGAGCCAGCGCAGCCAAATGGCGATGCTGCCTTGCACCTGTGGACTTTTGCAGGCGTAGGGTGGCATGCGGAAGGTCGGGCCGCCTTGGCCGGAGATGCGTGCTCTAATCTACAGAAGCACCTTCTTGTTGCCGTGGTCGATGTCGGGTGCGGCGTCGAACTTCCCATCATAGTGACCGGGTCCTGCGCTTTAAGCAGCAGATACAGGGTTTGTCTTTGTTTGAGATGACTGCTACGTACTGCAGCGTACTTCAAACATCTTCAGGAGCCATACTGCACAAAAGCCTTTGCTCGGCTTTATTGCTTTCTTTTAATGCCAATCCTCGCTCCCCGGTTCCATCCGAAAACTGGTCGCCGAGGGTTATGGCCCAGCCTGTGCAACAGTTGCTCCATACTCCAAAGCGATGACGAAAGGCAAGGCACACAAAGCAACACCAACTCGTCGAGTGTGCTGACCCACTTCAAGTAACACATGCCACCTTGCCAATCCATGATGCCGTGAAAGCTCTTCCGGGACTCGATGCCGGTGCTGGTGAACACATTCCATCGTCCCTGCTCGTCCTCTCACATGCGTTTCGGCTCTCGGGTCGTCAGAAAGACCGCACTGACCTGTTCTGTCCTGCTTGTCCCCGCAGCGATGGTTGATGACGATATCTGCCACGCCGCGCATGCCCTCAAAGTCTTGCCAGATGCACGCCCTTCCCGACACCTCCTACTGTACCAAAAAACAAGATGCATCCACACTGGTTTCGCGCCACAGTAGAAACATTACAAGCGCAAGTGAGACCTGCTGTCTACTAGCAGCAAGTCACACTATCTGATTCTATCCGTGCTGCGTTCGTAAAAGCTCCAGTGCACAGCTCATGCGCTGTTTCTACACAAGAATGCACAAGCCGTGATACAAGTCGTTCTTCGGATGCCATGCAGAAGCCAGAAAACATCGTGTCCGATTTAACCAATTTTGGCAACATGCCAACTCCTAGCCAGATGGCCTTTAGCACTGTACCTAGGTCCCGCCCGGCCCACGTGCGGAGCCTTCGCATGCAGGGATTTGAGAAGTGACTTCAGCTCAGCCTGCGCAGCTCTGTCCAATGTTCCAAGATTTGCATTCTGGCACCGATTCCTCATTCTATCGGAACACGGCTTGCTGGTTGAGCTTTGTTCGGCTACGGTATTGGAGAGTCTGGGTAATGTGTCTTCGGCACACATAGTCGCCCCGTGCCGAACACTTTGTGCCGGCGGCTATACTGTAAACGCAGCCCTCAGGTCTGCAGGCATCGCGTCTTTCGTGATCAGTTGACAGAGGCTGAAGATCTGGAGGGTAATCGTTTCTCACGGGATCAGCGACAAGTTTGGTCAATCTTTCGTGCATCTACTTTGCACTGCTCTGTTTAACTTCTGCTCCCTGCGGAGCTGTATGAAATGCAAGCAATGACGAAAAAGATTCGCTTCGACGGTGATAAAAACTTCTGACTATCAGAGACTACGCGTTGTGCCCGGTTGCCTCGGCTTCGCACACTGCTCGTCCAACGAGTTGCTTGTGATGGTCGACGTTCTCTCAGTGCTCTGACTTTCCACTCCCCCTCCTCACGTTTAGAGTAAGGTTTCGCTGAAGTAGTGAGTCACATCCCTCCACCCTCAAGCCAATATCATGAGTCAATGAGCATAATCGGCTCTCCTCGGCGGGAGTAAGCTTCCCGACTTCCCTGCGCTTCTTGCGCCGAGCGCGAGTTCGCGATTTTCAAAGGGGTTCCAGGCAGCAAAACCATGCCCACATGATGCTCATGATCCTTTTGCCTGAGATCCCTGGTGTTCTTGTTTGGCTGTGGAAGAATTTTCTCATACTGAATGCCGTACCTCGCATCAGCGCCTGAAGCCTGTACGACTGTTCAAGAAGCGGCGGCGGTGGTTGTGGTGGTGGTCGTGGCGGTGGCGGTGGCAGTATATAGTGGGGCGGTGGCGGTGGTGGCAGTAGTGGTCGTGGTGGCGGTGGCGGTCGCTGTGGCGGTGGTGGTTCGCAATGGCGATGATGGCCATGGCGGTGGCAGTGGTGGCGGCGGCAGCGGCGGCGGTGATTGTGATGGTGGTGGTGGCAGTGGTGGTGGCGGTGGCAGTGGTGGCGGCGGTGGTGGTGGCGGCGGCGGTGGTGGTGGCGGGGATGGTGGTGTGACGGCGGTCTCACGTGGTGGGGCTTGCATTAATTTAACTATATGACACGACTACTTCCTGTCCTGGAAGCTCGCAGTGTTGTCAATCGTTCGTCATTGCGTGCATGCGCTACTGATATCCTTTCATCCTGCATGCCGGAATATGGCAGATGCAGAGGGAAGTGGAGCAGAATAGAGATGGGGTACGCCGAGATAAACAGATTCAAGAAAGGCCCCCGCCTGTGTGCAGCGGCAATTTGAAACATGAAAGACATGTGGGTCACATGCAGACAATCTTCCTACGACCATGTACATGACATGACATGTAAGACAAATACAACAAAGAGAGAACAATTAACGAAAGCTCTGATGAAGTCATTGTTTCTCAATAGAACGATATAATGCATCAGGAGTCAAGGATGTAGCTGTCTCCAGCAAGTCTTGGATCGCCGGCTTGGTGTTCCCAGCTACTCAAAAGTGATTTTCCGACACAGCCTTAGTCCATCAAACCACCATCTCTCACAGTCCATGCGTCCCTGCCAGTGGAATGCTGAACTACACGGTGACAAAGCAGGCCGAACCTTCTTCCCATAGGCAGATGCATCGAGGTTGAACAACTGCGATGGCAGGTAGCCCTGTGAGGGCGAAAACATCCCATGCAGTCTTTCCGTCTCAGGCCGACGCAGCTTCTATTCTTGCAGGGATTCACGAGGTTCAGGGTTCGAAGCCAGGAGTTGGAGCTGCACCGGGGATGGTAGCAGGTTGAATTCACTGCACGTCTCGCTTTCCATGCCGTAGGTATGCCTGCTTCTTGGAAATTGATGTGTCCTTTTTGGGTTGGCTGGAGCTCCAAATCTCGAAGTACGCAAACTGCATATTCAATTCCTGATACTTTTGAACACTGAGTGCCTGAGCCACCAGGGCCACAACGGCCTAGACAGCCTTACAGCAAATCGCGAAATTCGATGCTCGTATTCTGCGCACACTTCTTCACTCCCTGCATGTGTCAACACATCCATAAGGCTCCGAAGTGTGCCGCTGAATTCGGGCAAGCTGTTTCCAAAACACACCGTATCTCTTCATCCTCACTGTGCGGCCTGGGGTGCCACAGACTGCGAGCAGGGAGGCAGCCAAATATCCTTGCATTGCTCTTGCAAATGTTGGGATCTCCTGGATCACCTCCGAAACTCCGATCCCTTTCCCACTTTATAAAGTCCACTGCCATGAACCCAAAGCGACCGGACAGGTGGACGACATCTTGAGCTGAGCATTATGCATCCAGTCAAACCCTGTACCGCCATTTAAACATTAGTACAGAGAAGCCTTCGACACCGACTTGTTCCAAACGACCAATGTCTTGCACCACTGGCCAGCTTCTCACAGTCTTGTTTGCGAGGTTGGAGTGGTGTGCAATGCTTGACGATCGGAGCGGCTGAACTGCACAGCTAGGCCAGCGCTTTATCTAAGCACGAACCACTGTTTGAACTTCTATATCAAAGCTCCGTGATGCCCATGTCGGCGAGCATGTCCACCTGCGGTCAGCGCTCAGCTAGCCGAGGCCTAGACGTGCTGAAAAGACACGGCGCCCCCTGCGCCCCTGCCAGGCCCTGCCAGGCCTTGGACTCCACGATGCCGTACCAGTTTCCCTTGCCAGCCTTGTGGCTCTCCCAGTTGAAGCCTCCGGCACCGATTCATCTCTCAGCATCGAAAACCCGAAATAGAGAGAGAGAGAGGGAGCTAGACAGTCGCAAGAGAACTATGCCAAAAGCCTGACGGTTCATGAGTCAACCTTCCGCCCATAGCCTTGCAACATCACCGTGTGGGACGGATCTGCGTACTCTGTGATCTTTGCCATCTCCTTGCGGGCCACGTGACAAGAAGGTGGGTCAGAGTTGCTGATCTCGCTGAAATTAGCTGCCTGTTGGGCTAACGTGGTCGCCGATCCCAAGCAACGTCCTCCAGGAGGGCGGCGCTGGCGACACGCCTGAGCTTATTTTCTCAGCTTCTCAAGACGTGGCATGGCGTGGCGGCTCTATCTTGCGGGCCAGGGAAAGTCTTGCTGCCCGCGCACCGCTGCTGCATGTTGAGTCGTTCCCGTTCCAGTTCCACGAGATGCGACTCCTCCGCTTCCTCAGCTTCCGAACTTACAAACTCAGCAGAAGATGTGACGCTTCCTTTTGTTGAGTTGCCGCTTCTGCACAGAACTCGTCCATGTCCACCAGCATCAAACTTGCAGTGCGACTCATCCTTGGGCAGAGTCAAGAGGCCCCTCGAGCCTGGTTAGCCTGGATGTTCTCTTGCAAAATACCAGGGCTACTTTCTAGGCAAAGCGTCTGCATGTTGAGCGACCCATCGGAGTTCTGGAAGAGGTGCCGCGACCTCAGCAAAGGGAGCTTCGGTCGCGACTGTCGCCGATTCAAGCCTGGGCCTGAAGACTCTAAGACCTGAGCTGGCGCTTCTGGAGTGGCGGTCCTTGCTCCGTCGTCTCATCAGTCTGGCATCAGGTAAGGAAGACTCGGAGAGGACTTGGCCAAGTTCTGCACCCTAAAGGAAACCGAATCCCATCTCGGCACCGATGCGAACCCTGCATGAACTCTTTCTCCTCGCACGCGACACTCTCTTGGGCTGCAGCACTGCGTCCATCGAGGACACACCACGCAGCAACAACCTAAATACTTGTGCATCGGATAACCGCAACTTGTAATCTGCCCCGATGGAACACAACTCACCGAAGTGAGAGATGGCGCTGGTGAGCCCTCCTTAAACGCATTAATGCCACCTGCTCCAGGCTTGAAGGGTGGTTAACCGCAAAAGAGGGCATAGACCCCTTGGCGGGCTTTCGTGGCTCCTCTTGGCTCCGTATGGAAGGTACCAAAGGGGAGTGTGCCCCGCACTCAGCAGCCAGGCTGCGGCTATGACAGGACGGAGGGCACGGACAAGGTGCCTATGGCAGATTGCACAGCAATGCACTGCATGAAACTGCATCTTTTTTTTTGCGACCTCTTGTCTGCCTGCCTATCCAATTAGAACGCCTTAGGCTGAGGTTGTATGAGCGAGACTGAAAGACCAACATAACAACATCCCACACATCCGCAAGATAGTTACCAACTTTTCCTACAGAGTAAATAAAACCTGGTAGTCCAACACGAAACTGCATCGAGGGTTCAGCAAAACAAACGCCAAACCTACTAAACCCCTTTCACACTTGCACTTGTACCTCTCTGCACCACCACGTGCAGCCAGATGACTGCATCCGGCCATGACTGAAAATACACCTCCGCCAGTTTCCGTGGCTGAAGAAGCTCATTGTCTTTAGCAGCTTTCGTCAGGTGAGGGGTTTGAAGCACACCGTAGGCTCCCGGTCAGTTGAGAATCCGTCGAGATCCCTCCAACAGGAATGTCAGCAATGATGCTGTGGTGAGCCACCCTGCCACTTTGAGGAGCACCCTGTTCCAAACGTGATACTGGTAGTACAGTTGCTGGCGCTCGTCCGAGTTTGCCCCGTTGAACTGAACAGTCCTGATGGACATCATCGAGACCCACTTTGTGGGGCTCGCGGAAAACATGTCCGACATCTCAGCCGAACCATCGCAGATAAAAGTTTCCAGCTACAGCGTCTTGTGTCAACGCCTTGACAGAAAAGCCATGGCCTCCCTACAAACCGATGGTGTCCTCGGTCGACTCAATTTGATAGTCCTTTTCAGCTTGACGTCTGGCGTCATGCGCCTTCTGCAGCAGGGCATGCGGGATCGAGGGCGACGCCTCAGACTCCGTCAAATACGCCTGCGCTTCCGACGTTTGCAGGAGATTGTTTGCGGGGCCCTAGGGCCATGGAAAGGGTGATCTCACCGCAATGTAGGGAAGAACAAATGCGACGCGTGGTCCGGGCTGTGCTTGTTTGATGGGCTGGGGCCTGGGGACGGCTCGGCTAGGGCTTAAGATATTTTTCAAGATAAGATTCCAGACCACGAGCAGAGCAGCCGGAGAAGAGCGCTCCCCTTTCGTGGATAGTGTTGCTGTAGCCTCGGCAGCACTGCACCCACCAGCACCGAGACCAGGAAACGCAATTGGGCTTAGATTGCACGAACATGTTAGGTTCTCCTGGGCTCCAGAGACTGTTCTGTTGGGTGGCGCTGCGTACGGGAGGCGAGCTCCAAGATCTTCTCCTCCTGGACATGGAGCGGATTTCGGAGGTCGGGCAAACAAGGCAAAACAACGCGAGCCTCCGGACATTTGTCAGTGACGAGCTCTCCCTGCTCGTCCATGGTCTCGATCCTGAGAACTCGCGTGTGCATGCGTGTGCGTCTGGTTCCCGGCTCAGAAAGAGAACTGCAACACAACTGCTTCCAGAAGATGTCTTTGCTTTCTATGTCCACCCGGAGCCTTCGTACTTGGAACCGAACCTCGGTTCACCGAGCTGCGTTGGGTTTCCCGTTCGCACAGGCATTGTGCTTGCCCCTGATCCTGTTCCATAAGCCTAGCTACGAGGTGCACCTGTGAGCAGGTTCTGGCATGGGCTGCTGTGTCTGAGTTTACGGCGCTTCGTGCGGTGTTCTGCCAGCATGCTTTCCGAAACGCTTTTGTTTGCCCTTGTTCTTCTTCTTCTTCCGCTCTAGCTGGCTCGGCAAGAGAACTTCTAAAAACCGCAGTCGATGCCCTGGTTGTAAACCCAAATGCTGTTCGGAGAGATCCGGATGTCTGTGCCGTATTTTCCAGCTTCGTTGGGTAACGTTCTAGCCTCCACCGCCAAAAAAAACTGGGCCATGGTTTGCAGAGAGTTTGACGTTCTAAAACAAGAGGTACTCTGCAGGCCTTTGAAGCAGACCTGAACTGAAAAACTTTAAGCCGGAAGCAAATTTCGTCTGGCCGCGTCCTTGTTCTCCACTACTGAACTGAGGCACTTTTACCAGCAAGGTTCCAGCTGATGTACAGGAACCCGAAGATCTGCAGATATTGCCAGAGTGGGCCACCCGCTTGCGCAGCAAGCCTGCAGGTGCAAATGAGCCTTGAATTGTCCAAAAAAAACTCTTGGCCCGCCTGCAAAACTTGGCGGCATCAAGGCCGATGTGGTAGCAGGTGCCGAAACCTCGGCCGGGACCACGCGCCGCGCGCCTAGCCGCTCTTCGCTCGCTCGGCTCAGCGTCTTCGCTCTTAATGCGGCACAGGAACTCGCATGGAGCCGACCCCGGTATTGCCACTCGGCCCAGAGCGTCGGCAAGCAAAACACGAAGCCTGCAACATGCAACAGCCCCAAAACAAAAGCAGTGGGCAAAGCGGAAGATGAGAGTACTCCGTCATGTATCTTTCGCAGCCTTCCCGGACCCTTTCGCACTGAAAGGCTTCGGCGGGCTCGTAGGACATGGAGCCTCCAACAACAGTACTCACGAAAGCAGCTTTTCGCAAGTCCAACCAGACTGCCAGGCCTGACTCCAGAATGCACACCTCCGAGCAACTTTCTTCGGGGATGAAGGCATCGTGCCCCTTGGTCGTCACCTCACGGCGCGAAGAAGTGAAGCCACATATCAGTCACGCGATGAACAACACACGTGACAGCGATAGCCGAAAAAACTCATTGATTTTTCAATTTCAAGCTGAATGCCAGCTTTTTATTTGATTGTCACAGTGTCAAACTAAACCGTGCACCGGATGAAGCGTGCCTTTGATGCAGAGACGAACAATACGTCATCCGGTTGGTCATAGTAGCATTCATTGCGCATTCCTTCATATTTCGCTCTGCTGTAGGACTAAAGGCTTAGAGTCACAAGCTTCAATCTAGCTGCTCAGTGCTTCACTGTTTGATTCCAGCCATTCTGAACAACATGGTCTCGTACTCTCTAGCATCATCTGCACATCGAGTCCGTGAATTTATGTATGAAACATTCGACTATGGTCGGTTTTCTGTGACGTCCTTAGCTGCACGGTTTGAGTATCCTTCTGTTTGACTATCTTGATTACGATGGGCCTCTGTTTAAGCATACTCGGCCGATGCATTTCACATCGAAGCGGCGCGCTCGACCATCGCACCATGGCACAGCGCCTTGAAGAAGTGCTGGTCCTGGAGGCCGCAATGGAAAAATTCTGTACATCCTACACAAATGCAGCTAGCAAAAGCTGCCTTTGCTTTATACTCAATTGCCACACCCACCCGGCCTAAAGTAAGGTTTGAAGTCTCGCACGGCACGAACGCGAAGGGGGAGCGTGGCAGGAGCTGCCAACACCAGCAAGACGCGCTGACACGTTGCCGCAGGGAGGAAGCTGGAGAGCGCATTGATGGCAATGCTTGAGGGCGCGATATGTGGAAGACTGTGGAACACCTCCTTAGAGTTGCACATATGTTCCTTTGTGTATTCTATCTTTCGATATATATATATGTATATATATATATACATAAATACATATATATATATATACAGATATATATATATATATACACAGTATTGTATACACATCTATATGTATAATACACTCACACATCCTCAACTTGCCTGATCTAGATGATAAGTCGGTGATAGCTCCACTGTTCGGCACGGACGGAACCTTTGCCTCGCCCCTGTTCTTACCCTGAAGTCAAGGGCCATGGCCTCGTAGAGGCTCCAGGCCGGCCAGAATGGCATCCGGGTGAGCTGCCTGGGAGCGGTGCTCCAACGATTTCAGGGCTTCATGCGGCTTCAGAGCTGGCCATGCTGACGGCACCAAGGCAAGGAAAGCTTGAAGAGTTTGAAGATTCTGGAGCTAGAGTGCGACAGGAACATCTCCTCGTGCAGCTGGAACTTCAGGCCAGCGGGGACCTTCGTGTTCTCAACATCATCGCACCATGCGCAATCGTGTTCCAACTAGCACAGAATCCCGATGCAAAACTAGAACTACCAGTAGAATCGATCTGTAGAAAATACAGAGACTCTTTGGCCTTCTGGAGAAGATGGACTTCGTCCTCCTTCAACCTGACACGGGCAGTCATGGCCAACACAGCATGTCTCAGCAGCTCAACTCTGTAATGTGTTGCTCTGAAGCACAGGCCTGCCTACACATCCCGACTATCGTCGCATTGTATCCTGTCATATCCCGCCGCACCTGATTCCTGTATGCCGCTCTTTCCGAATTACCTCAGGGAGGCGCCAATCATGGACAAGCACAGCATAAGCAACGGAGCCGGCTTCGCCACGACCTGCTGCCAACCCGACCGATCCGGTTCCGGCCTCCCGAATCTTGCCATAGAGATCCGTCGACAGATTCCTCTCCGTAAAGAATCGGAGGAGCAGGGAGTGCTGATGGAACCTCGCATGAAATCGGGCCGTAGGCTCTCCGAAGAATCTGATTCCACTGATTCCACATGGTACTCTGAAGGCGCCAACTCCGGCATCGGCGGCTGAGAGCAGACGACACATTCAGGCAAAGAGCTGCTCCATCCGCGCGTTTCGATATGCACTCACCGTGGAAGTGAGAGAGCTAATGAAGGAGGAGAACCTCAGAGTGAAGACCAGCTCGAAGGCAAGC